TACATACATACATACATACATACATACATACATACATACATACATGCATGCATACATACATACACCAACGGCTGGTTGCGTTTCTCCCGCCGAGGTGCTGAGGGCCGTTAAATCTTTCAAAAACGGTTCTTCTGGAGGCCTGGATGGCCTACGACCCCAGCACCTTAAGGATGTTTTTTCAGGCCCCTTGCCAATTGACGACACACTGAACTCCTTAACCCAATTCATTAATTTGATCCTATCTGGAGCTTGCCCACTCTCCGTCCGCCGGTTCTTTTTTGGAGGCCGGCTAATAGCTTTAAATAAGAAAGACGGAGGGGTCAGACCGATTGCGGTCGGGAACGTTTGGAGGAGGTTGGCCGGCAAATGTGCCTTGGCCCTGGTCGTGGTCGAACTCAAGACCAAGTTCTACCCGACTCAGTTGGGTGTCGGGATTAAGGGTGGCGCTGAGGCCGCTGTTCATGCGGTTCGAAGATTGGTCACCGACCTCCCCGATCAATGGGGGTTTCTGAAACTGGACTTTAAAAATGCCTTCAATGCCAGAAGAGACTCGATGTTGGAGGCTGTCAAACTTTTTTGCCCCAACATCTATAATTTTTGCCATTCTGCTTATGGCGGAGTCTCTTCCCTTGGCTACCACTCTTGGGTTGTAGAATCGTCCGAGGGGGTACAGCAGGGTGATCCCCTTGGTCCTTTGTTGTTCGCACTAACTCTTCATCCACTCTTAGAGAAAGCTTCGTCCACCTTCGTTTGCGCCTATCTGGATGATATCAGCATAGCTTCGGACGGTCCAACTCTGGCCGATAGCTACGAATATTTGAAGCATAACTCCGCTGCAATTGGCTTAGAGTTAAACATTAAAAAATGCGAACTTCACTGCCAAAGTTTATTTCAGGTGCCACATGCGCTGGCTGAAATACCCAGAGTTGGTGCATCAGAACTGAGTTTTTTAGGCACACCCTTGGTCGAGGGCGATTATCAAATAAAGTTTTTTGACCAAAAGCTCTCTGAGCTTGAATTCGCCCTGGGTCGTGTTTCCTGTCTTTCGGCCCATGATGCCTTGACTATTATCCGCAATGCCCTCAGTTTGCCCAAATTGATGTACTTCCTGCGTACATCTAAACACATTGACCCTTCTAAATTGGGCTAATTTGACGGAGCCCTGCGCACCGCCCCGTCGTCGATTTGCAATGTTCAAGTGACCGACAGTGGTTGGTCCCAGGCTCAGCTGCCGGTGCGATTTGGTGGGCTGGGGTTGCTTAGCGTGGTTCAGCTGGCTCCCGTTGTTTATAATTCTTCTGCTGCTGCCACTCTCGACCTACAGTCTTCCCTGCTCCACCGGTTTTTTCGTTGCCGCGATATTCTTCCCCCAGCGTCCGCCCCGGGGGACCGTACGCACGTCCAAATTTTGAACGAAGAATATAAAAAAATCTTTCAAAATTTGTTGTCTTCATGCGGCGACGACTTTTCCACCGCTCGTTTGTTGGCCATGTCCAGCGTTGCCAGCTGTGGGTGGTTGAGATCGTGGCCTAACACCTCTGTGGGCACCAGGCTTGACGACGAGTCTGTAAGATTTGCCATTGGCTTCAGACTTGGCCTGGTCATTCAGAATAAATACACGTGCCGATGTGGCGCTGAGGCGGACGAGTTTGGGCACCACGGTTTGGTCTGTCGCCTGGGTGGGGGCCGTCAACTACGTCACTCAGCGCTAAACGATTACATTTGTCGGCTCTTCTCCAAGGCTTCAATCCCGGTTCTCAAGGAACCATCCGGCATTTCTGCGCATGATGGTAGGCGACCGGACGGATGCACGCTAATACCTTGGAGAGCCGGCAGATGTTTGGCGTGGGATGTTACGGTCCCTGGCACCCTCGCCGAACGATACGTAAACCTGACAAGTAAAGAATGCGGTTTGGCCGCGGCCAGGGCAGCGGACGAGAAAATGAAAAAATATGGGAATGCCCTCCCCTCGATGGAATTCTTGCCAATATGCATCGAGGTTCTTGGCCCCAACACCCTTAAATAGGCAAAATGATCGGTGTCAGATCAGGTGACAGCAGGGAACTGTTTTTTGCAACCAACCACATTTCGTGCTTGTTGCAGCGGTTCCTGCGTGTCTGTGTGCTTGAAAATATACAACTGAATGCCGACATGTGCAATTAACGACAAATCAAAGTGTTAATCCATTTGTTACTTGATGTTTGACGGTTCAGTGTCACTCATCATGTTTTGGTTTTAACATACATACATACATACATACATACATACATACATACATGCAATCATACATACAAAGATGCATGCATACATAATGTATCTACCACAAAATGCGTGCACAAGTTAGATAAGTTGGCAGGCAATTCAGGTTTGGAGTGCTTTGTACATACATACGCGCGTACAAGCATACATAAATACGTACACGCATACACACATGCATACATACAAACATACATACACTGATACACACATTCTCATACATACATAGTTGTATAATTTTGCGTAGTAATGTTGTGTTGTTTGTTTTTATGTATGCGACGAATCATTTGGTATTTTTATTAGTTTGTATGTTTGACATTTTTTTTCATGGCGTGCAAGAGTTGCTACTGCACTGCTGAGTGCTTCTTTGAGATTATTAATTTTCATTTTAAAAAATCAAAAGATAAATATAATCAATGAATTGAAAACTGAATGAAAGAACGAATGAACGAATGAAGAATGAAAGAAAGAACGAACGAATGAATGAAATGATTAAATGAATGAACGAACGAATGAATGAATGATCTAATGGATTTCAAAATAATTTTTTTTTAAACGAGCAGAAACAACTAATAAAAAATTAATGGCAGATTTAAAAGCCTAAAAATGTTCCAAAAATTCACGTTTCAAATTGCAGCTCTCAACTTTCTTCTTAACATTCGCGAATGTTTTACTTTTTAAATTATTTTTATCTTTATTTGGTTTAAAGTTTGCATTTTTATTTTAAATTCCAAAAGATACCTTTTTCATAACTGTAAAAAAAATAATACTTTCAGAGAAACATTACGAAGGGTAGAGGAATAAATTGAATTTTTACAATTTATTATCCACTCTCAAAAAAATTTTTCTAAAAAGAAAAGACAAAAAAAAGGAAACAACAAAAAAAAATGAGATAAATTTAAAAGGAGGAAATTGTTTCCAGACCGATGTTATTTCTCACGCCTGGAAACACTCGCCAAGCTCTCGCGGCGATGCGTGCATGTGCTGAATGGACTGCTGGCTAAAAATGAAATTATTATTGGCAAACAAAAGTTTCTCCATTTGAAAAGATGGGGTAAATAAATGATGTATATATTCAGAAAAATGAAAGAAATAACTAAGAAAAATAATTTTACCACTTCTATAACATAATTTTACCCATCTTTAACCAATCTTGGAGATTCAGGCAGTTCCTGAGAAATTGAGTTTTCAGTTTATAAAATGTCAGATGTTTGACAAAATTATTGCATTTATAATGTAAGCTGTCTGTCTTGTATTATTTATCATGTGTATTGAGTATTATATGAGAAATCTGGTTTTAATCTTTGGGTTGGTTCGTCATTGGTTTTCAAATGTTGTCTGTCTGTTTGTTTGTTTGTTTGTATGTATGTATGTCTGTTTGTTTGTTGATTTTATTTGCTTGTAAATTTTAGATGAACACATTTTTATGGTTCATGTGTTTGCTTTCGGTTATTTAATCTTAGGTGCCGTGTTTTTTACTGTTTGTTGTTGTGGTTTTTTGTTTAAAACGAGTTAATTTATTTATGGTACATAACAAAATTTCCATTTCAAACACCAATTTTGAAATATAAATAATTTTGATGAAAAATATTTTAAAATATTTCCGCTGATTATCGTCATTATTGTAAACTTAAAAATTGACTAACAGTATAAATATAATTATTTATAAAGTCTTTTATTATTGGTTATAAATAACAATTTTATATTATTTATTTTCAACAGAAAAATTTCAAAGAAACAGAATATAAACGCAGAGAAGAACAATCGATACAACTAATCAATGGATCCAAAGCAAAGCGTGTAATCATTTCGAGACTGCTGTGTATTTCTTTTTAAGTCTGTTCCCACCGACATGTTATATAACTGAACAAACAGACGAACAAACAAATTGATGTTTTTCATAGCTCGAAAGTAATTAGTTGATGGTTTCAGCTATGAACTAATTTATTTCCTATTTTCGCGAAATGCCAAAAATTGAAATATAGTTAAAACATATGATAAGTTTGGATGAAATTTTAAAATGACTCAATGAAACAGCTAAGGATATTTTCACTTTCACTTTCTCATCAACTATTCATTAGTAAAAAGTTAAAAATTTTCATAACAAACTCCAACCCTAGTGAAACTCAACTCGCCAGCTCATACTGGCGAGTTCTTCAGACACTTCCGAGTAAATTTTTAAAATGAGACTTGCCTCTTCTGCTTTTGGAAAAGTAAAGAAACAGCGCCAACAACACCTGACAGATTCCACTCAGCGGCTTATGGACTCGCCAAGATCGGCTACTTCGCATCCCATATTAGACAGTTTACTGAAAAACCACGAAGTACAAACACATCAAGTTGAAAACATGCAGGATACATTAGTCCCTTGCATGAGCCCAAACACAGAGAACAGCGAAGATAACCTGATGTCTAATACTGCTCACAGAAAATCATCGCCGATGACGTCAGAGAATGCAGCCGTCGAGTCAACTGCGTGGCCACAAAGCGACGCTAAAAAAGACAGTTTAAACTTGAGTAACGTAGTGGAAAATAATTACGCAGCTGTAGTCCAGCAGCACACACGCTCCCGACTTCCATCTCTCGCCACAACAGGCAGTTACAAACATAGGAGCATTCCGAAATCTCCGCCACCTTTCCTCTGCAATAAAAGTGACTCTTCAATCGATTCAAGAGCTTCCTCCCAAAAAAGTGGCGCCCGCACGCACAGATCATCGTTTAAAAAATTTGCAAAAATTGACGACATGAACAGATCGATTTGGTCAGCGGATAAGAACGATTGGCTGGGTGGGGATCCCGGAGAAATATTGTTGTACAACGGCAAAACATCTCACCAGCAGCAACAACTTCAACAAAACAAACTTCTTCTACAGCAACATCAACGACTTGTTTTCAAGAACGGCGAGTGCAACGTGACGAGGGCGAACATTAAGAAGAGGAGACAGCGCTACATGGCTGATATATTTACCACGCTTGTCGATATTAAATGGCGATGGAATCTTTTAAATTTTGTTTTGGCATTCACTCTCAGCTGGATAATATTCGCCCTCGCATGGTGGTTAATTTGTTTCAGTCATGGAGATTTCAGCAGCCACCATCAGGGTAAAAATTCTACGGAAAAATGTGTGGAGGAGGTTTACGACTTCACAACGGCCCTACTATTTTCAATAGAAACGCAACAAACAATTGGATTTGGATCTCGAAGAATGAATCCACACTGTCCTGAAGCCATTTTTGTTATGATGTGTCAATCTTGCTTTGGAGTTATTATACAAGCGCTAATGACTGGATTGGTGTTTGCCAAACTATCGAGACCCAAAAAAAGAGCCGAGACATTGCTCTTCAGTAAAAATGCGCTAATCTGTAAAAGAGAAGGTCAACTCTGTTTATTGTTCCGAGTTGGCGATATGAGGAAATCTCACATAGTAGAAGCTCACGTCAGGGCAATTATGATCAAAGCTAGAAAAACTAGAGAAGAAGAAGAAATTCCGCTGTACCAGTACGACCTGGCCCTCGGAGATGGAGAAACTGAAGGAAGGCTGTTCATGGTTTGGCCCGTCATCGTCGAACACAAAATTGATGAGAGAAGTCCATTTTGGGAACTGTCCGCGGAGAAAGTTAGACAAGGCGATTTTGAAATTGTCGTCGTTTTAGAAGGAATTGTTGAATCGACAGGAATGACCACACAAGCGAGAACCAGCTACCTGCCGTCAGAAATTTTGTGGGGTCACCTCTTTCAAAAATTGGTCACTTTCGATAACGATTCTGGCCAGTACTTCATCGACTACTCACGTTTTCATTCAACATACGCAGTAGAAATTCCGCAGTGTAGCGCTAAAGATATGCAAAACTTGACGGACGAGGACAGCGCGGATTACAGCGACGACGAAGATGACTACGAGGAGGGCGACGACGTGGAATCAGTTTCAATCAAATCGGATTCAATGCTCTACCTGGAGCCTCCGTCGTTCGGGGTCAAGTCAGGCAGCAACCTCAACCCGTCAGATCAAATCGTCCCTAAGATGAGCGTGTCGTCCGATCAATTTCTTATCACGTCATCGTCACTATCGAACATAGTCTCCAATGGTAAAGATCACAAAGACCTGTCAAACGTCGCGAGCCCCACGAAAATTCCCTCAAACGTCAACTCGACAAAAAATGAAAATTTTGAGATAAATCTACCTCAGCAGAAAGACTCAATCGTGCCGAAACGTACCAGCATGTCGTCGGTCCGTCGCAAGATGGCAGTCAACAGCGTAGCGCTCGTGGCTTTCGATCTACAGAATGAAGAATTTTCATCCGGACTTCGATTTGATAGCAACGAATGCGAGACTGGTATCGCAGACGCCTCTAGCTACAAATTCGTCTGAGGACGATTTGAAAATGTGAATATTTTTCTAACAGCAAAAACTGAAATATTCAACTGACTCCCAACAAATATCGCAACGAGTAACCAACAATTACATTACAATATTTATAACTTTACGTATAAATGCAGACACTTATATTTTATGTATGAATGTATACACTTACAATACCACTAACTATAATTAATAACTTTAATAAGAATACTTATGACAATAATTGAGACGACATTTATTTCACGGTTACTACTGAGCCCAAACAAATTGATGGCAACAAATTAAAATTAATTAATTGTAGAATAATATAAACATGATGATGCTGTCGTCTTAGTAATGAAAAGTTTTGAAAACATTTTCTCAAAATGTTGACGTGTCATTTGCTTTTCGTTATTGTATAATCATTTTAATTGAACTTGTTTCATTGAGTTTTCATCGACTTGTAAAAAGATAGATACTTATAGCATATTTGCTACCTTCAATGGGTTAATTGTTTAGTAATTAATTAATTTATTTATTTATTTACATATTCATTTATGCCATGCCAATTTGTATTGAACAAGAACGTTCAAAATATGAAAAACTTAATGTGCAGATAAGAGAATTAATTCATTCATTTTTTTCTTTAATTATTTCCAAACATTCTTAATGTTGTGATATTATTAATATTATTAATATTATAATTATTAATATTACACACACATAAATATATTGTTTTTTTAACAAGAATTAACATTTTTTAAAATTATAAAATAATTATATAAATCCCTTTCTTCCTTTCTCTCGCTCTCTTTCTTTCTTATTCTCATTCGTCCTTTCTCCATCTCTTTTTCTCTGTATCTCTTTGTCTCTAGATATATACATTATTTATTTATATTTATGTGTGTGTGTTTGTGTTTGTTTGTTTGTTTTACTTCCTGTGTTTTACTCAGTAGCGAATCTAGAACGAGTCCGAGGTGGGACTCGCCTCCAATTTTGGGCAGTTTTTTTGTAAAAGTCCCAAAAAGGACCGTTTTATGTGAAAAATCGACCAAAAATTGAACCTGAAAAGCAAGGAAGGCCGTCAGCAACACTGCCACAAATCTTGGCCCGCACCCGCGTAAAAATTTTGGCTTCCCGCTGTAAAAATTTAAACATTTTTAAGGTTTTAGCATCCCTCTTGTTAAAGTTGTCAGATCCGCCACTGGTGTTGCTAACAACTTAGATGAAAGATTTGAAACGAAGTGACCATGCTTATTCTAATTTGCTATCTATCTTTTCATTCAATCTATCTATATTTATTTGTCATACAAAAATGTTTAATATTAATCAAACTTAAGTATATACATTTCATATATAGAATTGTATATGTGCGTGTGTGAGAGAGTAGAGAGAGAGAGAGAGAGAGAGAGAGAGAGAGAGAGAGAGAGAGAGAGAGAGAGAGAGAGAGAGAGAGAGAGAGAGAGAGAGAGAGAGAGAGAGAGAGAGAGAGAGAGAGAGAGAGGTTAAAAGGTTAAAGGTCAATTACACTCTTCCAAAGTTCAGAGGATTCAAACATGGTATACGAATACCTGCTAAACGACGCATCACACACGAAGCATGTGATTGGCGGGGATCTTTTTGTCACATTCGAACCCGGTTACTGCGAAAAAGAGAGAGAGGAAGAGATTCTCTGTGTGTACGTGTGTGTGTGTGTGCGTGTGTGTATCTATTCATTACATTTTCGATATATTCAATTAATGTTTAACAAAATACAAACTTATCTTTATACATTTGCATGTATACAATTATATATGTATGTGATTTTGTCTGCGTTCGTGTTTGTGTGTGTGTATGTGTGTCTGCGTGCGTGTGTGTGCATGTATGTGTGTGTGTGGTGTGTGTGCTATATATTTTGAATGGTTTTGATGTTGGTCTTATTCTGTTCGATAACTTCTTTTCAAAATTATTATCATTGTTATTATTTTTTTTTATTATTACGTTTCAAATATCATTTATATTTTTATATAAAAAAAACGAACTTAATAAATATTCAAGCGATTTATATGATGTTCTTTCGTAAATAAATGATAAAAAATTGTTTAATGTTAAAATGAAAACATTTCTGCCGTTCGTTCGTTCGTTCGTTCATTTGTTCATTCGTTCTTTCGTTCATTCGTTCATTCATTCATTCATTCTTCCAACCATCTCTGATTTAATTAATTAATTAACATAATAAACGAAAAATTATGTTATAATTTATATTTATAAATTAATTTAAACAATCAAAACAAGTTCATTAGTGTCATTTAAAATCAAAAAAATGCTTCTAAAGTCTCTCTCTCTCTCCATCCCTTTCCCTCCGTCTTTCTTTCTCTTTTCTCTCTCTCTTTTTTTCTCTCTTTTCTCTCTCTCTCTCTCTTTTTATTTATTTCTCTCTTATCTGACAAAATATTAAAAAATAACTCATCCTAAATTAGTAATATTAATCATCTCTAATTTTACTGCAAACGATTTTATAAATTGAAAATCTTCAATTCGTGGCCATTTCTTTTCCTTCCCAAGACCCTCTATTCATCCTCTACCAGGTGGTCTTATCTAGAAAATATGAATAATAATATTGAAAATAATACATGTAATAATAATGATGATGATGTTCAATCAGTCAATCAATTAGTTTATACAGCGCTATATCCGCCATGTTCAACAGCGCTCCTCAATGAATTTTGCCAACAGATGGATCTTGAGATCCGCTCTGAACTTCGTAAGTGATGGAGAAGTCGTCGAAGAAGGAGGTAGAGAGTTACAGAGAAAAGAGCCAGAAAAAGCAAATGCAGATTTAGCAAACGAATGTTTAACACGAGTTAAGAAGAAGTGAGAACAAGAAGACGATTGTAAACCGGCGCGTTCAGGTTCAATTTATATATTTGATAGGTACATGGGAAATAATTTGGAAATAATGGATACAAACACTCGTCATAGGAAAATATAACTTAAATATAACTGTTATAAAAATATAACTGACATAACTTGCACCAAACCATGTACAGTAAATCTGTGCGTCTTAATTTGAAAGTTTTCATGTATTCTAATTATAAAATTCTAATCTTTTAAGTATATGGTTGGTTTTTTGTTTTTAACTTAAATTCACTTTTTGATCTAACAAATTTACTTCTAGTTTTTCTGATAAAAAGTCATTTTATTAATCTTTATTTATTATTAAATTATTGGGTTGTTATGTTAAGTAAAAAAATATCGGAGGTCAGGGAATTGAAAATATTAAAATCTGAAAAAAGAATATTTTAAAATATTTTTAATCCTGAAGTGCACATGTGTGACATGCTACTACTAACTACTATGTTATTATGTACTACATTACAAACTACAATTTGCAATGCACTTTTTCCAAGTTTCTTTGAGTCCATGACTTTCAACTTTAATAACTTTGTTTATCCTTCATTAATAATTATTAACAAATTATTCACAAATATAATTTAAACTTTTAATTTTAGATTTTTTAACAATTTACCACATATGACTAACTAATTAAAGTTTATTTGGTAATATTCTCCAATATTTTACTAATAATTCTACTAATATTCGATTAGTAGAATTTTTTCTTGGTTTGAAGCTTAAATATTGATAAAATAAATTATATGACTAATTAATAATTGTAATTATCTCCAGGTGTCAGTGCTGATAAAGCGTGGAGAACTCTCTATCAAGGAGCTATGTTCAGAATGTATCAAAAGGATGAACAGATTAAAGCATCTGAACATGTTCATCACAGAACTTTCTCAGCCTGCCCTCAAAAGAGCTGAACATCTCCAAAATGAATTGAAAAAATCAAATAATAAAAGTGATTATTAATAAATTTATATTAGATAAAACCAAAGATTTGTGCCCTGAGGTCTAAAATACGTATGCCTTAATCAATGCTAATCTTAACTTAAATTTTCTGTTATAATTATGATTATAATATAATTTTTTATGATTTTTATAAATGGGAAAGTTATTAATCCAAATTTTTAAGAAAAAAAGTGTATCTTGTAATATAGACATTGTATAAAAATAATATCAGATACACACATAGACACAAACATGCACACACACAGACACCTACAATGATGGAGAAGAAAGAACAAAAAGAGAGAGAGAGAGAAAGAAAGAGAACATAATGATAATTACACATATCTTAAACCATAAATTTTCATTGACACTCTTCAATTTAAAAATAAATTTTTTTTAATTCGCTTCACCAACACGCAGTCGAAGAATCCACACACCCTTTCTATGGAATACCGATCGCTGTGAAGGATAATTTTAGTACCAAAGATGTAAAAACCACATGCGCATCACTAATGTTGGCCGATTACGTTCCACCCTTCAATGCCTCGGTGGTTCATAAGTTACTCAGTCGGGGGGCCATCATTGTGGGAAAAACCAATATGGATGAATTTGCTATGGGGTGAAGTTTTTTCCAGTTATAGTTATTATTATTATTTGTAATCATTATCATTATATTTTATATAATATTAATTTATTATTATTATTATCTGTGCTTTAATGCATGCATAAAATCCAATCGAGTTACTAAAACTATGTTTATTGCATGCAAACTGATTGTGATTCTTTGTTGTAAAAAGGTATAAATTAACATTTTTGAATAAATAAGTAAATTAATAAATTAAATCTTTCCCCAGGTGTGGCTCCGTAGATGGCGCTTTTGGTCCCGTCAGAAACCCGTGGAAATATCCTACCCCAATAAAATCCAACTTTAAGCACCCAAAAATAAATATTTTGACATTATCAAGCAAAGAACAAATAGACATAACAAACAAAGAATTAAACACATCTAGCCAATGTTTTAGTGATAAATTGGGGGAAAATGATGATAAAAATGATGATAAAAACGTCAAAAATGTTGATAATGATGATGAGTGGTACATCGCCGGTGGAAGTTCCGGTGGTAGCGCTGTTGCAGTAGCCGTCGGAGCCGCATTTGCGTTAGACGGCGTTACTAGCAATACACTTCATTCATTCGTTCGTTTGTTCATTCGTTCCTTTGTTCATTCATACGTTCGTTCGTTTGTTCGTTCATTCATTGTTCTCCTTATGAAATCATCAGATTACAAAATACATTCAATTATAAAGCCACCACATCTATAATTGTGTTATTATCATTCGTTATTGATCTTACTGTAATGATAAAATAATCTTCACCCCCTAGAGCCCTGGGCTCAGACACGGGGGGCTCGACGCGAAACCCCTCATCGTATTGCGGGGTGGTTGGCCTGAAACCCACCTACGGTCTTCTATCCCGGCATGGCCTCATTCCACTCGTTAACTCTATGGATGTGCCGGGAATCATTGCAAGAAATGTCGATGACGTCACGCTCGTTCTTAGTGAGTTGTGCAGTTTTGCATGGTTTTTGTGAAATGAGTTGTATTGCTAGGCGTGGAAATCTCCATACTCTTTCTCTCTCTCTCCCTCTCTTTCTCTCTTTCTTCCTTATCTTTTTTCTTTTCTATTTTGTATCGGTATTTGTTGGTATTTAAAGATATTTTAATTTGTGTCTGTAGAAATATCTAGGGAAAATAATATGTAAATTAATGAAATCTTTTTTTCCTCTAACAAGCAAAAATGTGCAAGTCTCTTTTACAAATCTTTAAAACTGGATCCCCACAAAAATTAAACAAAAGTGAAAACCTAATCATCCAAATTGGGAAAATGAATTAACAGATTTGTCAATAGAAAATTATAAAAAATTAAAAATTAAACTTGAAAATTAAAACTGACAGACAGCTTGGCAGGGCACGATCCACTCGATTCAACAACAGTAACACAGGACTACAAGCCCATTCTTCTTCAGGATCAGCCATCTATCAAGGGACTAACAATTGGAATACCTAAGGTTCTCCCACGCACGCACAATACAAACGCACGCACACGCGCACAACACACACTCGCACGCACACACGCATCGTATTATCTACCAATCACAGGAATACCATTGTCCGGGTCTATCCCCCGAAGTTTTAGACAGCTGGACTCAGTTAGCTGACCAAATGGAGCTAGATGGTGCCCGCGTCGTCCAGGTTTCCTTACCCCACACGCAGCTTTCCATACGCTGCTATCATGTGCTATGCACTGCCGATGTGGCCTCCAATATGGCCAGATACGACGGACTTCGATACGGTCTTTTTTTTGGACAATTTTTTATTAATTTTTTTTTCTCGATTTGCTTACTTTTTTCATTCACTTTGATTGTTTCATTTTGAAATTTTTGTATTGTTATAATAATAATAATAATAATATTTATAATAGCAGTATTAGTAGCAGTGGTGGTAGCTGCAGCATCAGCAGTAGCCGTACTTGTAGTTGTAGTTGTAGCTGTAACAATATTAATATGAACACTTGCGTAACATGACGTCACAGGGCATCGCGCCCCGAACGACAAGTCCACAGAAGCCATGTACGCGCAGTCGAGACGCGAAGCTTTCAACGACGTCGTCAGGTCGAGAATATTGGCGGGAAATTATTTCCTACTTAAAAAGTAAAATTTTAGAAAATATTTGATTTCATGCAAATGAAAGAGATGTGACAATTCACTTGTTACATCACTTATTTACAGTGTCTGCATTGGAATTTGTGGTTTCGTTTTATATATTCTATGATAGTTGGTATTGGATTAATTTCATAAATGACGATTGTTTACGATAACCCCAAACGGTAGTAATATAGTAAGAATATAGTAAGAATATATGAAGAATGCTTTCGACTTGAGCAATTCACATTTTGCAGTAACCAGGAGAAATACTACATACGCGCCCAAAAGATCAGACGCCTGATTCACGACGACTTCGTCAACGTCTACAAATCCGGTGTGGATGTCCTTCTGACGCCAACGGTTCTCAGTACTGCCCTGCGATACAGTTGGTTCTCGAAGGCTGACAATCGGACGAGGACGGCTGAGCAGGATGTTTGCACTCAGTCTGTAAACCTCGCTGGTCGGTTGTGGTTCTTTTTTTAGTTGTTTAGTTTTGTTTTCCAGTTTTATTCATAATTTTGATCGCGGCATTCGTTCCGTACGAATCCCACAGGTGTCCCTGCAATCTCAGTCCCAACCAGGATCTCTTCAGACGGACTTCCGATAGGAATGCAGCTGATAGGGCAAAACTTCAAGGAAGAAGTTTTATTGAATGTTGCTAAGTATGTCGAACAGAGATGTACTTTTCCTTTGTTGGTTGACAGTCCTTTGTTTAAGGATTTATGAAATAAAATATGCATTTTTATGTTTTTTGTATCTCTCATTTTTATCAAAATAATCATTTTTTCGTGAAGTTTTAAACCGATTCCCTTGCTCATAAATAAAATCTTACCAAACAATAACTTACTAGTTCTACCAAATAAAATCACCTAAATATGTTTTAATCGTGCACAAATGAATATAAATAATACCGAATCAGTAGGTATAACGTTTCAAATAAATTGTATTCCAAATAAATTAAATTTGAAATAGATTATATTTCAAATGAATTATCTTTCAAGTAAATAATATTTAAATGTTGTCGTCCATCCAACTCGGGCCGGTTAACACTTGTTATAATTTCTACACCAAATCTCATTGAGAGAGCCCGGCTGATACTGACCACACAGGTACTTGAGGCACAGGTAGGTTATGTCGTTGTATGTTCGTTTGTGGGCTGACGTCACTCGGTGCTGGCTGGCCATTTTGTCGTCTTCGTATTTCTTGGTCGTCGTCTTGTGAGTAAGTCTTCTGGTTGACTTTTCCAACTGCCTGCTAAAAAAGGTGAGAGTTGTATTAATCATTATGGTTCTTATAATTGAATTTTTTTAATGCTTGGATAGCTAGAACTTCAACTATTAAATTTTTACTTCTAAGGATTATAAATAAGAGCTAAATAATAACTTAACTTTTATTTATAACTAATGTAACCTTTTCATGAATTTGTTGTTATTTAGTTAGTTTAAATAAGTTAGATATTAGAATTTTTCAAAATGTTAGTACTTTATTTTCTTTTCTTTATTCTCCCAAACATTTTGAATAACTCTAATATATAACTTATTTAAACAACCTAAATAACTACAAATTCATAAAAAAGGTTACATTAGAGACAAGGTCGAATTTAAAACATGGCCAATGACCCCGGGTCTCCACATAAAAAAACCTCCACGCTAAAAAACCCTTCAAAAAATGTTTCTATGGAATTTGGTCGAACTAAGCCCGACACACACATACTTGCGACACACACCGATTTTAATGGAAATATTTATTTCGGAACTTCATTCCACACAGCTCAAAATCCACGCCCACCTAATTACAAACAACAACCAACTTGTTCCTATCGGCAAGCAGACATTCAGCTAGGCAGCTTTCAGCTGCGGTCCCGTAGCACGCACTCACGCACTCCGATAGGCTATTGTCGGTCGGCTCAGTGACCGTTAGTTCGCTACTGGATTGAAAATTTGGGGAATATCTGTTAAATTGTTTGTCTTTTTTGATTGGATAGGTGGAGAAATAATGTTCGTCATTTTAATCAATGGTTATATATTATATATATTATTTATTTATAATGAAAAGATTGTATTATTCAAGTGGAAATTGAATTATATAGAACTATATATTACAAATTTATCTTATATAAAGTAATTTTATAATCTTATTCATAAGACCGCAACAAATCGTATAACGTTGAATATGAGAGAGAGGAAAAAAAGAGAAAGTGAGTAAAAGAGGGAACGAAAGAGACAGAGAGAGAGAGAGAGAGAGAGAGAGAGAGAGAGAGAGAGAGAGAGAGAGAGAGAGAGAGAGAGAGAGAATTGATAAGCCTTATCTTAGTGCCTTATAAACTCAGGATGGATACATTTTCAAACATAATATATCCCAAAGTCATTGTTCAGCTTGAAAATTTGTTAAATTAAAAAGTATAAATAAGGAAAAAAGATAATAAATTCCATTGTTGAAGGCTGCAATAGATACAAGCAAATGTTTCAACAGCAAACTAGTTTGCCTAAATAGTAAAATTAGTTTATTTCAACTTTTCTGCAATTAAATTCGTAAATAGAGAACATGGCATCATTAATTACGCACAGATGTTCAGCCATGTGCTTGAACATGAGAGAGAGAGAGACTCAGAGAAAGAAAGATGGAAAGAAGAATAAGAGAATTTACTTTTACATAAATATATATATATATAATTAAATATATAATAATCTTAGAAAATTATTATAAATAATATTTAAAAATACGTGTGTAACCTCTTAGGGTAATCGTATTCAGAGTTCTTTTCGGCTGCAAAAAATTAAAACTGGAATTTTTAATATATGGTGAAATGGTGTAGTGGTTCGGCCACCTGATTCTTTTCTTTCAGTGTTGCAGTGACGAGGTTCGAACGCAAAGATATCCCTGTCTTATCGCATACTATAAGTAGATTCGTGCGTGTGTGTGCTGTTGATACGGATAACCAAATTTAAACTTTAAAGGTTCTTCAACGTTAAAGCGCTCATTTGAAAAATAGCCTATCATGATGACGTCATTAGAAAAACAATAAATATGGCAAAGAAATGAAACAACAAACCTGAGAGTATTGCGTCATAGTTCGGGGTATATGATGACGAAACAAATACGGCGGAAAATAGCGTGAGACAGAGGATAGCGTACAAACGAACCGCGATTCGATGCATTTTTTTCTTTGTTTTCTTTGTTGTTTTATATTTTTAAATTTCTCTCTTTGTTTCTTTTTTTCTTCTTTTTTTACTCTCTCTCTCTCTCTCTCAATCGAATTTGCAAATTAATTCAGTTCAATATAAATTAGAAATAGTTATATTTGGTTACATACGTTAAAATTAATTTGATTTTCAGTGCGTTCTTGTGCCTCACTAATTTAATTGTTACTTTAATTTATTTTATATAACTTTAACAAAACCACAATCTTATATTTTTAAGTTTTAAACAGTCTTCAAATTAAATTACGAAAAATAGAAACCTCTGGTATTTCTCAGACGACAAACTCTATGGCTTGACAAAAGTCTGTTTTTATATCAACCACACATCACTAATTAATGATCAACAGCAGCTCCTTGAATGGTTGGTGGAGATGAATTAAAAATGTATTTGAATAATGAGAGAGAGAGAGAGAGAAAGAGAGAGAGAGAAAGAGAGAAAGAGAGAGAGAGAGAAAGAGAGAGAGAGAGAGAGAGAGAGAGGGCAAGAAAGATTTCAAACTGATATATCGTTGGCGAGATACTTGATGTTTTAAAGAAGATTCATCTCTTTCTTTCCCTCTCTCTCTTTCTCTCTTGTTTTAATTTACTCTGTTGTTTTCCCCTCTTTCTCTACCTCTATCTCTATTTTGTTGTTATCTATCTCTCTATCTTACCTTTAATTAGCATTTAAATCAGTTTCTTGCTAATTCGAGCCATGCTAATCCGTGGTGAAGTCACTCTTTTGTCATTAACTGCTCCTTTCCTTACATAGGCCTGAGAGAGAGTGAGAAAGAGAGAGGGAGAGAAATAGAGAGGGAGAGAGTAATAGGAAGAAAAATAGAGAAAGCGAGACAGATAGGGACGAACTTAAGAAGGGAGTGTTTAGAAGAAAATCAAACAGAGAGAAGATACAAAAAATAGAAAAGAATAAGTTAGAAAGAGAGAGAGAGAGAGAGAGAGAGAGAGAGAGAGAGAGAGGGAAAGAGATCTCAAAATGATTAAAACGATTTTAGCATCGTTTAACTTCTGCTTCTTATAATTTATAAGATTATTTTTTACGTATTTATTTTTTATTATTTCTTTTCATTAATCTCCAAATTAAATTTCTCTCAGAAATCATCTTATCCGATTAAAACGGATTTGTTCAAATTTATTTCAAAAAAAAAAATTGAGACAACTTTTTCCATTTTTATATTTGATTTGCGTTTATATATTCCCTTTTAAATGCATATTTACATGTTTGTATATCACGATATCTATCATGATATATATCCGTCATGATCTATATATATATATATATATATATATATATATATATATATATATATATAATGGATAGTTAGAGAGAGAGAGAGAGAGAGAGAGAGACAGGGTGAAAAAGAGAGAGAGAGAGAGAGAACGAGAGGTATGTATAGGTTAGTATTACCAAAACATAGAACATTTATTGATACATTGTATCAGACGTTAATGAAATATCATTTAAAATTAGCCGGCAAATCAGAGTATGTATATTAGATTAATTAATTGATTAATTAATTTGATTAATTAATTAATGTAATGTTTAACTGTTCAATGTGCTTAAAGATGTTAAAGATGAAATAATTACATCGATATTTTATACAATCTGACCAGAGATAACGTTGAAAATTATGAATAAATCAAGGTACACACACACACACACACCACACCACACACACACCACACACCACACACACACACACACACTTACACGCATACACACATACACACGCAGACAAACACACCACACGCACGTACACACACGCACACAACACTGAGAAGAAAAATAATAACAACGAACAAAAAACATTCAAAGTACATCTCCATCCTTCTAACTATTATTGACGTAAGTACACTGTGTACTTTGGCTTCCGGGTGTACACCTAGCCGGAAGATGAACAAAATCATCATCCTCATTATCAAGAGCATCTTCATCGAGCGCTTTACTATCCAACTGCAATTTTGGCTTGTAATAAGGATTAGTAGTAAAAACTTCAGAAGTTTGAGAAATTTTTGATTTGAGATCGTTAAAATTGAAGCCGGCTTCGTCCCCACCACAACTACCACTACTACCGAAATTGCTGTGGTTGTTGTTGTTGTTGATGCTATGGATGTTGTTGTGGTTGTTTTTTGAGTGGTGGTGGCTCGAGTTTGACTGAATTTTTCGATCATTTTTGTAGAAGTTTTTCTCCTGTGAGCTACTTTTCTTGCCAAAGATGCCAGTCCCGTTCTTCTTGCGTAACCTCTTGAAAATTTAAAAAAAATTTTTTTTATTTTTTTTTAAAGTAATTAATAATTTATATATTAATAATTAATTATAATATAGTAATAATAATTGAATATTATATTATCTATTGTCGTCTTTTCCTAGACGACATATAAATTTAATTAAAAAAAAAATAAAAAACTCAAAAAATAAAAAATAAAGCTCACAATTTGACTGCACAGACCGTGGAATATGAAAATGAACAAGCCCTTTGGTGAGAAAAAATAAAAAACTTCATTTCAATTCTAATATTTTTTTTTTCAGAAATTCGCATAAATTGTAAATTAATCGAATTTAAATTAATTGATTGATTAATTAATAAAATAAAACACAGAAACGCGTTTCCTCAAAAGTGTAAAAAAGTATTTCAAAGGATGTGAGACCTGCAAGGAGTTAACAATGGCGAATATGTACTGGAATGCTACCATATGATGGCTGACGGACAGAACACCAAAGACCCACGTAACCCCAAGGAGAGGGCTGATAACCAGAATGTTCCATATCGTGGCTCTGTGTGTGTGTGTGTGTGTGTGTGTGAAAGAGAGTTTGAGTGTATGTGTGTGAGTTTGAGTGTGTGTGTGTGTGTTTGTTTGAGTGTATGTGTGTGTGAGTTTGAGTGTGTGTGTGTGTATTTGTGTGAGTTTGAGAATGTGCGTGTGGGTTTATTGGGTGTGTGTACATGTTTTGAAATTATGAAAGATGATGATAATTTTGGATTTTTAAACCTTTTTTCAAAAGTTAAATGAGGGAATAGCATGTAGTTACAGAATTATGAATAAACAGGCGACAGCTCTCACACACAGACACAGACACACACACGCACAAAAACACGCACACACAGACACACACACAGACAGACACACACAAAAACACGTTTCTAACTTAATCCTTGGTGATTTTTCTTGATTCTCAGCGGCTTGCTTAACTCGACTGGCATTCTTCAGAACCACCATCAATATCATCATGTTAGCCTTTTGAAAGAAAAAAATCTCATTAAAACCATCATTCACTATAAATAATAATAATAATAATAATAATAATTATAATAATGGCAACAATAATTGTAATAAGTATATAATGACAATGAAATAGCCGTATGGGGAAAGCGTTTGGTTATATGGTTCGAAAACAAGAGATTTTCGTCAATCTATCTATTGTGCGTAAAAAACGAACGACAATAATAATAATAGTAACATATAATAATAATAGTAATAATAAACTCACGGCTATAATGAAGAGGGCTGGCCCTATGAAGGCCCACATCAACCCGCCAGTCCCCGTCAGCCAGCAACTACAAGTCGAATTTGTGATAATTATCAATAATTATAAGCAATTATAGGTAATTATTAATTATTATTATTTAATTATTTTGCCATTATTAATGGGAATTTTCAAACATTTATAAATGAATAAAAATCTCTAACGAGATTTATTTAAAACTATACCTGCGTATGAATTTTTTACAAATAAATGGATGGACGAATGGATAAATAATGATGAAATGAATGAATAGATGAATGGATGAATGAATAAATGAATGAATGAATAAATGAATGAATGAATGAATGAATGGATGAATGAATGAATGAATGAATGGATGAATGAATGAATGAATGAATGAATAAATGAATGAATGAATGGATGAATGAATGGATGAATGAATGAATGAATGAATGGATGAATGAATGAATGAATGAATAGATGGATGAATGAATAGATGAATGGATGAATGAATAAATGAATGAATGAATAAATGAATGAATGAATGAATGAATGGATGAATGAATGAATGAATGAATGGATGAATGAATGAATGAATGAATAAATGAATGAATGAATGGATGAATGAATGGATGAATGAATGAATGAATGAATGGATGAATGAATGAATGAATGAATAGATGGATGAATGAATGGATGAATGGATGAATGAATGAATGGATGAATGAATGAATGAAGTGTCAGGGTTAGAACAGGTGAAATGGGAAACGAATCAAACTATTGCAAAGATCGCAGTTGGAGTTCAGTGCATTTCCGCTCAGGGGTAATAAAGTCACGTGGTAAGTTAGTGGGGAGATTTGTAACTGTTGGCACCTTGGTATACTGACGAGGTTGAAGTTTTGAAGTTGGTCGTAGGTGGTCAGCAGTTGCTTGGTACCTCGAAATTATTAATAATGAAGATAAGGAGGGAGATAACTAAACATTGTTGGCCATGGGACAACTACGGAGCATTCTATATACAACAAACTACACCCGCCGTTCGGCAGTAAGCGAAGCGACGGCTCATACAACAACAGACTTCTACCTCGGGTGGCCCATGAAGCTATTCGCTTGTCTGACAGACCAACGTATCAACAGATCATCGTTTGTTTAAACAGTGAAGGCTTTGTCTGGTTAATTTTGTTTGCTTCGTAGTTTGAACTAGTAAAAACTCGTAACGAAGAAGACAAAAAAAAAATTTGAAAATTTTGCGTTTGGTTGAAGAAGGAACGGAACAAATAGACAGATAGATGGATTGTGCCCAAAAAAAATTGACTTCTACCGTAATTCAATCAAAGAAGTTTGAATTATGAATCAATTTATAACTTTGTTATATCTGACATTGATGAAATAATATATATATATATATATATATAGGTTAAAATATTCTTAATCATTATTAATTTTTAAAAATAGATTAAAATTAAATCCATTACTTTTTATCGTTTCCATAACCAGCTGTCCTTGTAACTGCTAATGAAACTGCTACTATGATGATGGCACAGGCTTGGGTTTAAAAATAAAATACCACAAAATGAAATAATGAAATGAAATAAGAAAGATGTTTTATTTTCTCACATACTGTATCTGTGAATGGCATTGTGCGTGTGTGTGTTGTGTGTGTGTGTGTGTGTGTGCCAAAACATGAATAAATTAGCAAGAATAATCACAAAACATGAATAAATTAACATAATTATTCAAAACATGAAAAAATTAACACGAGCCATCAAAACATGGATAAACTGACCCGAACACGACCGTAAATAATCTAACGCGACCAAACAGAACATGAATAAATTAACATAATTAATTGATACATGAATAAATTAACATAATTAATCGATACATGAATAAATTAACATATTTAATCGGTACATGAATAAATTAACATAATTAGCCACGCCTACCCCAAGCACTGGCGATAATGGCGGCGGTCTCTTTGCTCCTTTGGGCATGGTATACATGAACAACGTAGATGAGCAGCTGGACCCCTTCGGCCAGCATCATGAAGAATGCGGCCATGTAGAAGAGATGCAAAAGGACCGCTATTGTTATGCATAGCTCCTGCGAAACGTTTTATTTGCTATATTTGATTGATTGGTTGGCTGGTTAGTAGATTGGTTAGCTGGTAGATTGGTTAGTTTGGTTTGTTGGTTGATTGGTTGGTTGGCTGGTAGATTAGTTTGTTGGTTGATTGGTTAGTTTGGTTGGTAAGTTGAAAATGTATATTTAATAAAAAAAATATGCGTTATACATATAAACTCCGAATGTTTGTTAAACATAAAGAAAACGGCGCTATATAAATTAAATGGAGTGAATGAATAATTAAAAAAACAAGCAAAAAAAACGAATGAAAAAATGATCGAATGAATGAATGAATGAATGAATGAATGAATGAATGAATGAATTAATGAATGAATGAATGAATGAATGGATGAGTTAATTAATAAATTAACTCATCTCAAAAAAATAAGATTAGCCATAATGAGCATCAAACAATGAATGAATGAATGAACAAACAAAGAAACGAACGGATACATTAATGAAAAGTGAATATATGATGAACGAACGAACGAATGAATGAATAAACAAATGACTGAATGAATGAACGAATGAATGAACGAAACAAAATAAAGAGCAAACTCTAGGTTGCGTCTTATTAACTCCTCCAATAAAAATAGCATTAGCCATGGTGAGTGCCAGGCAGAGGTTGATGAGGATTGCATAATGGTGTGACGTCTTCACCCATCTGAGTGAACGAACAAATAAATGAACGAGTGGGTGAATGAGTAAGTGAATGAATGAATGAATTGATTAATGAATGAGTGAATGAATGGATTGATGGATGAATGAATGAGGATTGCATAATGGTGTGACGTCTTCACCCATCTGAGTGAACGAACGGATGAATGAACGAGTGGGTGAATGAATAAGTGAATGAATGAATGAATTGATTAATGAATGAGTGAATGAATGAATGGATAGATGGATGAATGAATGAGGATTGCATAATGTTGTGACGTCTTCACCCATCTGAGTGAACGAATGAATAAATAAACAAGTGGGTGAATGAGTAAGTGAATGAATGAATGAATTGATTAATGAATGAGTGAATGAATGAATGGATAGATGGATGAATGAATGAGGATTGCATAATGTTGTGACGTCTTCACCCATCTGAGTGAGCAAATGAATAAATAAACAAGTGGGTGAATGAGTAAGTGAATGAATGAATGAATTGATTAATGAATGAGTAAATGAGTTATAATAGATGGAAAAATAAATAAATGAATAGTTAAGCATATAAAAAACGAATAATTTTACAAAAAGCTATTCTTCCTTACTTCCAAGAAACAGCAATGATCATGATAGTGAGCATGAGAGCCACAATGGAGATGATACAACCGACGTGAGATATAGTATCAATTATGATATTGTCCAGTAAGTTGGGCTGGTCGACACTCATTAAAAGTGCAAAGTTCGTCATATGGTCACAGCTACAATTGGTCATCGTTTCATTGGTCCATGATACTCTACAACCATCTTCTGACCAGTTGCCACTGGGAAATGGATGAATGAATGGATTGATGGATGGATAGATAATGGATGGATGGGCGAATGAATGAATGAATGAATGAATGAATGATTGAGTGAATGAATGAATTAATGAATGGTTGGATGGTTGGATTCTCACTTTTCTCCGATGCTAAAATTCCAAAAGACACATATCCTTGTGATGTTTTCAATATCAACGTGCTGAAAAGGTAAATTAATAAATAAATATAAAATTATATTATATAAAAATAATTATTAAAAATAATATTTAATAATAATAAACTTACAATAATTCACATTAAAATTAGCACACGTGTCGTAATCTATTATACCTATATAACATAATAAATATTGATAATATATTATAATTTTTTAAAATTATATTATGCTATTTTAAATTATATTATTTTAAATTATGTTATATTATTTTAAATTATTTTATATTATTTCAAATTATGTTATATTTTTTTTATTATTCTTTAAAAATCAGGATCTGACAGACGCAGAAACTGTATTATTTTAAATTATGTAATATTATTCTAAATTATGATATATTATTTTAAATTATATTATCCCTATGCCGTACTAACGCTTTTATGATAGAATGTTATGTTGAGACCGTTTTCAACGCTCTCCGGCTTTTCTGTTCCCAGAATCTTTACCGACAAAACTCTACTGGCTATAAAACTCCTGCTGAAAAAATATCAAAATAATATTTCAAATTATTTGAATTTAATTTTTTAATTATAATTTAGTTCTGTCAAATTATACATTATTTGAATGAAACAAGTGAATGAATGAATGAATGAACGAACGAATGAATAAATGAATGAATGGATAGATGGATGAATGATAGTTTTGTTATTATTAATGATAAAGTAATTTTAAAACAATGGAAGAAACTTTTTGAAGTGTTGTGTATTATGAAAATTAATATGGGAATGAGATAGCCAGGTGGTAATGTGTCCGACTCTTGAATTGTAGTGACCGCGTTCGAAAGCAAACAAATCTTTTGTTTACTATATAGATAGAATATTTGAATAAAGTTTTTAAAAACATTGCTGTGTGGAAAGTTAATTTCAAATGTCTGGCGCTATAAAAATGATAACATATCATCGTCGTCGTCATCATCTTCCTATTCATCACCATCATCATCGTCGTCATTAATTAATATTATTTTAAAATCCCAAATATTATTTTGAAATTCAGTATTGACAATACCAGAGACTTACTTATTGGGCACGGGCAGTAACTTATCGAGATTTGTGTAATAAATACTGCACACCTTTGCCGCTGGGTCAGGACTACCTGGATCTGACAAAGAATGCACACCACCTACAACATATGTGCATGTGTGTGTGCGTCTGTGCGTGTGTGTGTGGTTGCGTGTGTGTGAGTGTGTATGTGTGTGTGTGTGTGTGTGTGTGTGTGGTTGCGTGTGTGTGTGTGTGTTTGTATATGTGCGTCACAGTCTGAATAATATGCTTAGAAAGATTTGCCATCACGTATACATACTAAACCAGCCAATACCATCATCATTGCAAACACGTGCACAATTAAAGCGATGGACATACTCAGCAGTGATTTCTTCGACGCCAACAATGGTTTAACGAATTTCTTTGAAATCTTGATAGAATCCCGAATTGGATTTCTGGGAGGGCGAGGTTTGGTTGGGCCATCCGGACTAGCCGGATTAACGGGACCGCCGGGACCAGCCGGAGCAAAAGGGGCAAAACTATTTCTAGTTGTTGGAAATTTATATTTAGGTTCGCGGCTTGGTGGTTCAATTTCAATGTCAGGAAGAAGTTCTTCATCTTTCTCCTTTTCGCCATCTGCGCCATCATCCCTGCCATCGACTCCAGCATCTTCTCCACCATAACTTCCATCATCGTAATAATCTGAACCGTCATCTAGCTTGCCGGACGAAATTCTCTGAATCTGCATAGCTTATGTGGTGGTAATATTAAATTAATCGTAATAATTAATAATAATAATAATACAGTTGAAGTTTTAGAATTTGCGGTAGATAAATGAAATTTAAAAAATTTAGCCACATATAGAGGACGCAATCTAGGAGCTTTATATGATTCCGTGATGCCTTGTTCGCCAAAAAAGGAACCACAAATCTTAAAAAATTCTCCCCCGGGTCGAAAAAATTTGCTATTTAAGTGCATATGCGGACCTTTAAAGGTAAAATTGTTTCCAATGCGGCCCTCACAGCAAAAAGTTTGCCTACCCCCTACCCCTGGCATACACAGTGCCCGTGTGACGTGTATGTATGCATCAAAAAATCTCTCTCATGTATAATATCTTTCAGGTATGCAATTAAACAGAATTAGAACAGATAAAATGTAATTGAAATGTGTAAATTTTAAACATTTCTAACCAAGATAATCCTCTGAGAAATGGAAAACGCTCTGATCGTAACGAATGCTATAGAAATCTGTCACCTTCATCAGCGTCATTGCCTGGTCTTTATCGTTCTGTTGACATGTTTTGAAGTATTTTTTTACTATTTAAAAAAAACAGTTATTAATTTTTTGTAAACCATTAAAGATTTTCCAAAAAACAAAACCAAAAATTAAAAATCCATTTTATTTGTATAAATATTTGGAGATTATTACAAAATAATAAAACATAAAATCAAGCAAGCAGCAAAATGAACCGTCAACAGTTTAAGCCACGTTCCCATATTCGAGTCACTCAGCATGTTGCTGACGATCCTGTAAATGCACTGTTAAAAAAATTTACAAAAATTATAGTGTAATGTAATGTGGGTATAACACATCAGCAGAATAGTGTAACGGCTAAAGCGCCTATTAATGCTATCGCAAGGACCAGATTCAAACACAAAGACATCCAGACCTACATACATCTGAAAACTTATTTAGGAAAAAATGGATAAACAATGTATACTTACATAATTTTATTGAAAATTATTTTTTTTATAATTTAATTACTTACATAATTTTATTGAAAATTATTTTTATTATAATTTAATTACTGAAAAGTGATAATTAAAATAAACTAGATACAATGGCTTACGCACATCAAATTCATTGCGGTTGATACCAAGAGTTGGGTTGTTTCTTCTGATGGCTTCAAAAAGTTTGAGGGACTTGAGAGTGGCGTTGAGGTCTGATTTCGTTAATTTACCCTTGGCTTCTGTGAAATGTGATATGGACGCCGATTGGTCGCCTATTAGCGTTCTATCTTCCATTCCCCATCCGTCTTTTATAAGTTCCAGCTTTGGTAAAAAAATTAAATTTGAATTTAAGAGAGAGAGAAAGAGAGAGAGAGAGAGAGAGAGAGAGAGAGAGAAGAGAGAGAAGAGAGAGTTGACGATAATAACAGTTATAAAAGCAAATATGACATATTATACATATTAAATGATGATACTATATACTGCATGATACTATATACTACATATAGTACTTAATACATAGTAAATGATACTAGAAACTAGATACTACATGATACTAGATACTACACGATAGAGTTATATATTCAACGTAGCAATGTTATACCTCGTTCAATGTTTTCTCCAACTGCTGACTCAAACAATCTTCGACGTCTGTTTCCAGCCAGGTGGTACTCCCGTCGGCATTTAAACGACAAAATTTTGTGGCCGTGCCTATGGAGTTTTTTGCTTTTGAAATTATTTTCAATTTTTAAGAAAGATCTTCAAAAAAATTTTGTTAAATAATGTTTTATATAATAGAGTATATTTAACTATGATTTGTGAATGCTTTGATCATTTTCTGTAAATAAATGAATAAATAAAATAGAACGAAACGAAACGAAACTGATCGAGAGTAAAATAGATAAATAGAATAGACAAAAATATCTCTTATCTGACGCGGCACTAGAAAAAAAAATTTTCTTAGTGGTTGTTTTTAACGAAGGAATGCTAGCACATCAAAGCACGAATTAATAAATGCAGGTTTTTCAAAGCAAACACTAAATGAGAATTAATAACTTTATATGTTGTATACTCGTTATAACCGGGTCGCCAATAGCATTGCATATAGGCTGTATAATACGGTTGTGCGAAAAGCAATATTGCATTACGTTATTACCGAGTTTCGGAGAACTTAGTGTTTATTTAAAAGCTATAGCAAGTTGTAGATTACGTTACGTTAACACCCTTTTATAACGAAATCGTTATAAATGATGGTGTGTACCTGTATAAGTGTCTGGACAGTTGTGAATGGCGGTTGTGTTAGCGCTGGTTCGATCCCACTTCAAGTTCAAGTCATCGGTCATTTCGGGGCAATATTTAACTGGAGGAATAAGTTTAAATTAAATTTTCTAACTTTTAAAAATGTTTATTTTCACATTATAAATATAATTAGGTCTAGTTAAACTGTTTACAAATTAATTATTTTAAATTAAACTTATAAAATTTGATAAACAATTTTTAATCTTTTTAATTTCCACAAAGGAAAAATAGAAATTTAAATATTAACTACAAGAGCAAGTGCATTTAGCCACCCAACTATCTTGTAGAAATCACAAAAATTTGCTACATGGTGAGCTAAACTTTTCAACCTCAGAGGAACAATCAGATACACAAACGGTTGAAACATTTCACACGGTTAATGATGAAAAAGAAAGAAATAGAACAGTTTTTGGTCGGCGTGATAGTCTATGGATTTATGAATACAAAGTGATCCCATCCTATCACGTACAACCATAGTGTGGTGTCTTCCTCTGCACGTAGTTTTGTGTACATTGCGCGTTTGTTGCAGAAACTCTTGAGAAATACCAGAGACAGAGTAGATAGTAAAAAGCAAAAAATCTAACATGTCTTTGGGACGAATTGTAGAAGGACGGTCTCGGTTAGGACGTACAGAGTTGAGTTGTAGCGGCAAGTCAGATTGGCTCTGCCATTTTTGGCGATGGTTGACGTGAACATCTTGCTGATGCACTTGTTCTCGCCCTCAATACCTGTTTTGGTTGTTTTACACATACACACCAGCAAATACAAAACACAAATACATACAC